ATTACATTATACAGTAATAAAAGAAATACTAGGTTACTAATAGTAACCTAGTATTTCTTTTATGAAATAATTTAAATGACAAAGGTCAATTTATCCGAGGGTACTGCGTTTCTTAAATGAATCAAATATGACGTTTGCCAGTTCCACAATCAAGCCAATGATTTACAGAGGTTTCTGCACAGAAAAGGGTTTTCCATTTAGGTAGATGTTCATAATTGCGTTTAACGCTTCTTGTTTAAGATCAGTACATAATGTGTTTTTTTTTTGTAAGTTCATTGCTGAAAAGCCCTTTTCAACCGCTGCAGTACTCCCAGACAGAGAAAACGTCAATTCCACCATGCGCAGTATGCTGCTGTATTTCTAGATTGTATGGTCATTTTAGAAGTGAGGCGCTAGACTCTTATAAGATAATAAAAATTGAAAATGTATCACGAACATTAACGGGAAAATGGCCGTCCGCGCGGACGTCGGATTCGATAAATTCGTTGTCCGCTGGGAATTTTTGACCGCCGAGGACGGGCGGACGGGCGGTTTTTCGAGCCCTGAAAATTTGTAATGCAATACGTTAAAATAAATACAAATAGGAAGTATATAGAAAATGTCTTGAATAAAAACCCATGACATGCATGTTTAAATATGAAAGTATTGCCCATAAACTCGTGCAAAACATGCAATTATTAAAACACAATAGGGCGTTTAATAATTGGGTCTAATTATTATTATATAGTTATATAATTCCTAATATAATAAATATTCAATGTTTATATTATATATCGACTCATTTAACAAAATGATACACGGTTTCAGCCCTGTATAAACACTAAAGCTGTATAGAGTATCACCTCTGATAATTAGGATTTCACAAAGACTCTTAGAGTGAGTTGAATCATTTAACCAGGGATTAGCAGCAAAGTAACTTCATTTGACCATTATTTACGAATATTGTCTCAATAAGAGTTCAAAGGATTTTCCAATAGAGGCCCTATATGAGGGTTCATAATGACCTAGGCACATGTCCAAGGCTTGGAGAAAAGAAAAAAAAGGGGCGGGGCCTATATAGAATTGTCAGATTCTCGCGATATTTTATAATCACTATTCAGCAAATATAAGCCCTAAATAGGTCGACACTGTATAGGACTCATATTGAGACAATTTCGAACTCAACTAGGGAAAAGATATAATTGTTGCTAAACCAACCCAATCTTGAGTTTTCGATTATCTATGTTCGGCTCTGTAGCTTTTGCAATTTTAAACCTGATTCGGAAGATAAAGGAACAAACAGTTTGAGAGCCTTCTTTGAGGACTTTTCAGTAAATAAGCAGTGTTACATGGAGGAGAAAACCCCGAAAACATCCCCACAGTTAGTCCCATGGAGAAAGGATTCTCACCGATGATCCGTCAACCATTGACGATATCAGAACTGTGTCTCAGTACGAGTTGGGAGTAGAATTCTCATCAACCAGCCATCGTTATCTTATTACACTTATCAGCTTAAAAAATTCTCGAGATAATGGTAAAATTAACAACAAACTTTGGATCGCTCTCCTAACCTCATATTGCATTCGTTATTTTGGGAGTCAGAACAGATGTTTGTTTAGAGGAAAGTACGCGTCGTCTGCGCTCATTGATTTGAGGTCGAGTCTTCAAGATTGAGTCCTATAACGTGATCATTAAATCAAAAGCTATCCGTTTTCGCACACTGTCTTTACCATAGTATTAAATGAGAACTGGTTTAAAATAAAAAAGCATTTTTTGAAATACTGGTCTACGATGAAATATTTTCATCATCCAGTCATACAAAATATTTAGTAGACGATAATGGAAGATAAGGCAAAAATGTCATTCCAGATGACTTTTTTGATTACACAATGAACTCAATGATTTTTTGTAGAATTGTCAATGATTTTAGTCGGAAAAATATGTCTTTTTGCTTTTTGGTTCATTTAAAATTATTACAAATTCTTCTCATATTAATTGTTTGATTCTAAATAGTATTCCAATAAATTTCATGAAATAAGTTTGTTGTAATTTGATCTGTGCATACAGTTGAACAGGTCGGGAGATTTCTACTAGATGCTGCAGGTTGTGAAGGTATTGTTGTAAGTCTTTTACCGGTAAGAAAATGGGATGGTGTTAATGTTTCTTCAGGATCATCATTTCCTTGTTCATAAACTAACGGTCGACTATTTAATGCGGCTTCAACACCAACTAATGCTGTAGAAAGACCTTCTTCATCTAACAAGGTTCGACCTAGGGATTTTCGCAAACATCTTTTTGTTAGTCCGATCAAACGTTCCCACCATCCTCCCCACCAAGCCGCTCGTGCAACAATAAATTTCCACTTAATTCCCGTCTGGGCATAATATTGCTGAACTTTTGACGANTACCTATCTGAATTGGTAAAGCATGCCAACCGTCATCTATCAAAAGGTACCTCGTGATAGAATCAAGTTAGCATGCTTTATATACTAGTGAATGATGTTTAACTTTTGTAGTGGTAGTTACGCCACAGTTTGACGTTTTGCTAGTTTTTAAAAGAGTGACTGCGTAAATTATTCATCTGATTCGTATTTAATTTTAAACCGAAACCGAGTTGTTTCGGCACCAAAATGTGTTGGTTATAAACGTAAATGTTCCCTAATTATAATCAACACTAAAACAAGTATCAAAAAGAACAAACTCTTTTACTATCAAAAGTGTACACAAAGAATATATACATGTTGCCAACAAAAGAATAATGTAAGAAATAATATCATAAATAATATAATAAATAATCACTGCATCTGCGTTCACGCATTTGCGTCTGGTAATCACTGCATCTGCGTTCACGCACTTGCGTCTGGAACAAGTAGAAAGGAATTAAATGGCCACAGAAAATGATATATTTCAAGAATGAAATCGCGCTGCTGTGTGATTTGTTGTTGTTTCATACCTTAAACGAGTGTTAGGCATGCGTTGTTGAATGTTTTGTATTGTATGTTTTGTATGTAGTATCGGTCTAGTAGTTTTAGAGATTACAAGTTCATATGTATTTCCAAGCAGGATCCCTTGCCATAGCCTTTCCCTACACAAGAAGGTTGTTCAAGTGGGATGTTCCACGCTATTCTTACACAACTACATTCTTCAGTTTGTTAAACGCGGTGGCCACTTTGACCCTAGTGCCCATCCTCAACAAGAGGCTACTCGTTCACGAGGCTGGTGTTGGACTCATCGGTATCCTCTCTCTGATGGCAAAAATGATACTCATGTCACTCACCATGTCAGAATCTATCATATTCTACGGTAACATATAGATTTTTTCTTCATTTAAAAATCACTTATGTGTTGTTTTATAAGATTTTACTAAAACGGAACACTTTTATATTTCGAAACTATTACAAAGTAGATAAAATGAAATAGAATAAAAATGAAGATTATATATACTATAGATAACGAATAAAAATAGAAGATCGGTGAGTTTTATTTCAAAATAAATAATGCGAGAAACTCAATTGAATTCTTATGTGAAACAATGGATGCGTTGAGGGATAATATCTATTCATTAAAGATAAATTCTTATGAAATATCTTCGTTAATCTAGTTCAATCTTAACCCAGTCCAATTTCGCTTTTTTGGTCGCTCCTCGCAACGATCTCAAATGGATTTGTTAGAACACTTCCACATTAAATCACAACTGATATCTTTAGCCATACGCTCAAATGAAACGAATAGTCATTGACGTTCGATGACTGAATTGGCCGATCTTTCTTATCCTTTAACAAGACTTCAGTAATCACAAATACAGAACGGCAGAGAGTTTGTCTACGGTAAGAACTAAGTCTGCTTATTTCAAAGTTTCTCTTTACTCTAGGGCTGACACAGGAGAAAAATATGACTACTTTGATAAGGGATACGCGTTCTCATCTTGCTGTAGAAGACCCTACTCAGGACAGTAGTTACGACGCGTAAATAGTGTTTTAATTGTGATCAATGTGGATGATTTTCTTAAGGTTAGACCTTTATATATCTATTTGTTTTACACAAAAAAGTAATTGCGATCAAGTTTTTTTTTTGTTCACCCTTCTAAATGTACGCAGATAAGGGATTTTCATTTATGAAGGTTGGTTGTAACATTTTAAGAATGTGGGGAGACGAGAATGTCAACTTTCATCTATGAAATGGTACATAGAATCGAATTTTATTTAACTCTCTTAATATTCCACCATTATTATATTACGTGAAATGTGAATAAATTCTTACATAATTTTGGTTCGAGTTTTCATGAATGAGAATTTAAAGAAGCATAATTTTTAATTATATTTAAATGATTTAACTATAGATACTATCCACATTTATCATAACAAAGTAAATTTATGAATCATCTTATGAAATTGCATTTAAATAAATTTGCAACACCATTGAAAGCGTTACAACGAATCGAAAAATACAGCGATGAAACATCTATTTTATATATCTATCTACTATATTGTCATAAAATGTGTTCAAGAACCACCGACGCACAACCTTGAGTGTATGCAGACCAATTATGCGTGTGATCGAGACTGAGTAGCAATGGCACGAGCAGGTGGACCACGCAGTCATAAGTTGAAAGTCAACTGTTCAACGTGGACTCTCAATCGAAATAGGAGTATCTAAAAGGGTAGGCGTATTCATATCACGTCCGGGTCACCAATGTGGGGACCGGGACGTGTATAGACAATGCTGACCGTCAACTAAAATGACACCAATGTATAGACAATGTCAACCTTCAACTATGAAAAGGTATCCCAACATAGAATCGAGTTAACAAGTATTATATACTAATGAATTTGAATTGAATAATTGTAGTGGTAGACACGCTACAAGACGATTGGCTGAGTGGTAGCGCTTCGCGCTGTCGTGCCACAGGTCCTTGGTTCGATCCTAGGGACGGGCAAGGTTGACTCAGCCTTTCAGTGGGTCGATAATACGTTGTCCACGTTGGGCGCTGACCGCCCAACTGGAACATCTGCACGCCAGAGTCCAAACGTCAAGAAAACAGAGTCCTCTATGGTCTGTCACGCCACTGAGTTTAGACACACTACAAGAAAAATGTTTGCATGATTGTTAGTCTAACTAAATGTTTGTGTTTCAGCTTGGTTTGCTGGTACAATGTATGCATGCGGAGGAATAGCTGTCAGATCAAGAATGTCAAAACTAGTCAGCAAGCAGGAATTAGGTAATTTATTTCACTCTCAACTGAACATCAACAATGTTTTCTTCTAGTAACACCTTTCACTGGGTCAATCCTTTAATTATTTGCATTATTCTTGATATTTAAAGTAATGTACGTTATCCTACAATTCAGGAATTTCCGTGTAAATTTGAATAAATGAATCTAGATAAAATTAAAAAATTTTTTTGTATATTCGGAATATCTAAGACATTGTTTGAATAATCTTAGGGAAGGTTTTTTCTCTGCTGGCAACCTGTGAATCTCTGACTCCTGTTTTGGGGACCATTTCCATGACACAAATCTACAATTCATCTGTCCATTTCTATCCAGGTTTAGCCTACGCATCAGCTGCCATCTTTCTTATTCCAGCAACCATCATCTTTGCGTAAGTTTCTCTCTTTACTCTGCTGCATAATCGAATGAATGTGGCCGGCAAAGTATGAAATATGAGAAGTATTACATATTTACTTTGCCTAGGCATTGCATATAATGCCGGATGTTATTTAGGCAAAGTATGAAATAAACGTCCTGATGAGGTTATTTGATGTTACTGTAAATCAGTGGTTCTTAATCTTTTCAAGCCGCGACCCAAATTTGAGCAATATGTTCATGTCGCGACCCCAAGAAAAGTCAAAATTAGCTGAGTAAACCACAATGATTTCTTCTAGGAGGTGTTGGTATTACTTATTATTTGGTGTATTAACTAACTTTTTTGGTTCGACTCAGCGCGACCCAAGAAATATGCTTCGCGACCCAATTTTGGGTCGCGACCCATAGGTTAAGAACCGCTGCTGTAAATGACCGAAATCAGTGGTTGTTGACTTTCACCGGTGAATGCTGACAATCACCGATTTCGGTCATTCACAGTAACATCATTTGCATAATAACCTCATGAGGACGTTTATTCCTGAATAGCATCCGGCATTACATGCAATGCCTAGGCACTACTTCTCATACTTTGCCTAAAAACGTCATACATAATTGCCGGTCACAGATATAAATCCACACTAAGTGAGAAAAAAAAGGAGGAGGAAGTCAAATTTTAAAATAGTGTTAATATTTTGTACAAGGCAATTTACTATATACAAAGTTTTTGATAGTTTTCCATGGATGCCGGGCCAACATAATCTTGATGGTAACCATCCATAATTCCATTATGAACCATTATATTTTTTGATGGTCACCAACATAAGTAGCATCCATGTTGGACTTTAAACTGATTTATGATGAGACAACATAAGAATAGCAATTTGTTTTGATGGTTTGATCATGTCGAAAAAACAGAAATTTCCATCATAGTTTCTTGGAAATCTCAGAACAGTCATGAGCCACCTCAATGTAGAAATGCGGTCTGATTTATGATGAGACAACATAAAAAAAAAGAGCCGAATATTTTCGATTCCTGTTAAACCATCATGAAAATGTATAGTTGAAACCATCACGGATCTTCATGAATTGTTAAATCACGCTCTTGATGGTGAACCATCATGGTATTAAAGTAGCAGTTTGCTGGCATATCAAACACCATGAGCACAGAATGAAAAATGTTGGACCATCATGAATCGCACCAATATAAACATTTTTTCATGGGACCATCAAGAATTTTTACTTGGTTGGAGACTTTTTTGTGTCTTAACTTAATAGTTGGTAGGGGAGAGTGGGGTCAATTGTAACAGGGTACAATTGTAACAGAGCAAAAATTTCGAGTGTCGGGTTCTAGATGTGGTTCCTAGGTCGCGCACAAGGTGTATTTAATAAATCTACATGTACACCCCTGCTGGCAACCATTTTTATGTACTTTTGAAAGAGTTACATCACAAAAGATATTTTCACGCCACGCAAGTACTTTTTTTGGTATTAGAATATTTTATTGTAACAAAGTAATTTTGTTTAAACAAATAAAAATTAGTAACCGAATATGTAAGTGGACACCTTAATTAACATTTCAATAAAAAAAAGATTAGTTTTGCTAATTAACTAGCATTGTTTTTAACAAATGAAGCTGAAATGGCGTCTTGGGGACAATTGTAACAATAAGTAAAGGGACGATTGTAACAGCTGAAAATAAATAATCTTATGTTTACAAACCATTACTTAACTCTTTAAGAACCACCAATAGTTTCCTATATCATTTATATTATGTTGCATGTGCATTATTTTATTTGTCACCTTTCACAGCATAAATTAAAATTTTTAACCCCTTAAAGTTAAAAGTTTAACCCTTTAGGTCTCTGCTCATTATTATTTTTACTCCTAAAATATCACTACTATTTTGATCAATAAAAAAATATATCACAACTATGATAATATGTATAATTAACTATGTTTTAGTTGAATTTATGAACTGTTACAATTGACCCCGTAAGTGGGGACAATTGTAACAAGTGCACGACTGTCAAAAATTGTTAATAACTAATATAATAACATTTAAAATAAGGTTTTTTTTTTTTTTTCTAGTAGAGGATAGTCTACTTTACTCGTCTGTCAATTAATACTAATAATATATTGGATTTTATGTTAGTTAAAAATAGTTAAGTAAAAATTGTTACAATTGACCCCACTCTCCCCTACTCAATTATCAACAATAAAAGTGTAACTCAATAAAAGTGTTTGAAAATAATACTTTGAAATTAGCGCTTAATTCGTAAAAATCCATTTATTAGAGTAGAAGTTATTCAGCGAGTGATGCCTATTTTTATTGCTAACACAACATTGTTATTCACCATTTCCAAAAGCCCTAAGAATGCATACATAGTTTATTCTTTTAGATTTAATTTATTTCTTAACATGTTTAAAAAATTAAGTAACAAAAGCAATGAAATCATTCATATTTTTCACAAACGAATTATTTAAGTAAACTAAATCAGAAATATTTAATATTATTACGAAAAAAATATCAATGTTACTGCAGATTGTTTTTTGTTGAAAGATCCAAAACATCCTTAAATTTGCGAACCCTATTTTCAATTCAAACTATCTTTTTTCAACAGATCTCCTGAATTCATTTTGAAGGGTCGGACTCACCTAGAGCTCGAATTTTGATTTCTCTTTCTTTACGTTTTTGGAATTTTTTTTTCCAGTTAGAGAAAGTTTTAGAAACTTTCTTATTTTCTTAGTATTTTTACAGCTTTTAAATATTTTAATTGACTAATTAATTTATATTTCAAATCATCCTGTTTTTGTGAGAAAACTATTCATAATTTGGGAACATAAAATAGGCATCACATTCCAGGATTTGTGTGTAAATAGGGTTATTTGGTATTTAGCCTGCTCAACACAGAATATTCCTTTATGGACGTATAATGGAAACAAAATCACTCAATTGACATAACTCAATGTATCACTTTTAATGTGTTTACGCATTAAGTAAACAATTCTTAAATGCATAATATTTTATTTAAAAAGTTGACAGAAATTATACGTAATATTCTGTTAATTAATTAGATGAATAAATTGATCCATTATTTATTTACAAAAAGGTATATGATTTAATAAGAATGTGCACACGATGTTTGTAAAAGTAGAAATATTTTCTTAGAATACTGCATTTGGAACTTAGGAAGTTTGTCCGGGAAGGGTTTATTCGATTAACTAAAGATGATAAACAAATTTGTGAAAATTAAAAGATAAATTATTTTGTGAAGGGTCCTTTCTTTCTGCAAATATTCCTTCCTCTAAAAAAATCGGATGATTCTAAATTGTTTTCATAGACGTCATGCCTGTAGAACCCACGCAAAAACTACATTGACGAATGAAATTCTGAACAAGTATTTAATCAAAATATTTTTTTTAAGGATATCTTCAGGAGCCATTTTTGTGATTATCAAAACCATAAGTAGGAAGGCCATTTAATTTTACTCTCTTTTAAATTCTAGGTGGATGACAAGCTTGTCCTACATTCAGTACCAGGAATCTGAAACTGCCAAAAAGTCTAAAGAACTCAAAGAAGTTGTCCATTTTAATCAGACCAAGTACTGAACTCACTTGCTTTTAAATATGTACAAACGAAATTGTTCCATTCTACTATTTTCAAGACTATTTTTATTATTCAAAGCTTAGTTCGAAGCACGAGGTCGACTTTAGAACATTCTACGACGGGATTAGCAGAAAAACGAAATGGAATTCTCTGTTTGGTTAAGCGCAAATAATGGCAAAAATATTTTATATAAAACTACCAATAAATCAAACTGCTTTTGAAATTGCAATCGCACTACTGTTGTTGCAAGAGATTACACGACCGCATGTCTGGTATGTTTCTGCAGAGCATCTCTTTGGACACGTCAATCAGATAATTAGGTATTTTTGCAAACACAACTCTTCGAATAAAGAAATAATTGCAATCAGGCGGCTGAAGCTGAAGAATTATTTTTAAGCATTAAAAGAAAGAAAAAACATTCCATTTGAACGGAAATTAAACTTGAGAGTTTATTGTAATACTAGTGGGCTGTGCCCCCTGCTCGCTGACGCTCGCCAACCCCCGAAAATTGCTACGCAATCTTATATGGTTTGCTTCGCAAACCAAGCTCACTTCGCTCGCTACTAACTTAGGTACATTACAAACAAAATTCTAAGAATTCAAAACAATCATTCAAATCCATATAACAACTTTTTTTTTAAAAAAAAATTACATCTTTTTAGTAAATACTAAGTCATTAAAATAAATTTGAATTCAAATAAATGACATGTAATTCGTTAAACCTATTAGAAATGTGCTATAGTATAAAATCTTAAGATAAAATTTCTAAAACTGATATCTCTTTAAAAAGGTTAAAATTTTGGCTATAATTAAGTCTATTAAAAATTTAAATAAGAGAAATTGCAATGGAAAAACCCTGCATAAACAAAACATTGAATTTCGGAAGAAATCTCGTTTGGTGAGAATGCTCTCTCTTGTCAAAAAATACAAAATAAACTGACCTCAAATAAAACTCCAAGGACTTCGAATCAAATAATTAAGGAAACTACTATCACGTTTAATATAAAAGGAAGATTTATTAACTAAACAATAAAATTACAGCATCGCAGTTCCAAAAAACAAATCTCACACTCACTCAAAAAAACAATTTACCTTCTAATTAGTCACCATAGCAACCACAAAACTCTTCTCGTTACCATCTATAAACTGATATATAATAAATAAATTATTTAACAAAAAATACGATGCGCATAAGCACATAATATTTTACACTCTGGTTATTTCAGTTTCCGTTTTTAGAAGCGCTATATGTTGAGCCACCCAATCTAGATTTGGCATGTGACATTTTTAGCGGCAATTATTGGTTGATTTTCTCGCGTTGCCATTCGGAGAGTTGTAATGAGGCATTTTTTCTATCGCCGTGTAAGAGAAATATATATAGATTTTTCAACGCAAAATATATAAAGAGAGAATTTCAAAACTATACATTTAGACAAATGTGAGCGTTGCTTGTAATCTCTTCTAATGTAATGTAGCCAAAGATTTTTTTTTCTTTGGATATCTCATTGTTACGAATAAATATTTATTAAATACTGTATTTTTTGTATAATGTAAGAAATAAATGTGTCATTTTATTTTCGTTGAATCTCTCATTGTATTTAGTTACATATGAATATGTATTGCACTTATTAAATATACTATCTCCTTTACAATGAGGCAACCTATATAAAGCTTCAGCGGCTCTCAAATACTTTTTTTTTCTAACTTAAGAATAAAACATACAGGTCACCTGCTAGTTTCAAATTTTATTTTGTTTCAGCAGGCAGGATCAACCGTTTCATTTCCTACTATTTGCTCGCACTCTCCCTATATATCTTGTTCAAATTTTCAGTCATTCATAAAATACTTTTTAGTCATCCACTCAAGGTCAAATACATTTTTTTTTAAACTTGTAGTAGTGAATGACACTTCATGTTAATACAGTTTTCTTCAAATATTAATTCATTCATTAAATAGGGATGAACGAAATGGAATTTTCTAATGGCGTTAGTCATTGCTTTAAATTTTACTAGAAGTCGTATTTTAAATATAACATCAGAGATCCTTTCTAACTTATAGCTATTTGAACAAAAAAAAATAGTTTATTGCGCACATTTAAATATTTATTTTATATTCGCTGTGTATGTTTTCATAATTAATTATTGAATGGTTGATTATTTTATTTATTGACTGGAATAAAACTAAAACGATCGGGGCAAGTAACCAGTGTGAATATCGGAATGTTTTTTTTTTTTTTAAACTTTTCTTATTTTTTTAACAATCCTTTAAGAATGCTTTTTGAGACAGTGCAAATGCACAAATCACTACTTATTTGTTTTTAAAATTTCGCAAGCTGAAAAACCCTTTGACTTCTACAAGGTAGCCCAGTAAAGTGGGTTTGATTTCTTTTTTATCCTCTGTTAGGTCTCTAAACGTATATTTATTGAACTGTTAAATCATAATTGCTTATTACCACTAATTTTGTTTAAAAAAAAACTCCTAAAAATGTCTTTTAACTTAAATGAAAGTAACAACTGAAAGTGTAGTTAATACGTGAACACAATTATTTACACTGAAACCAAAATGTATAAAATTGTAAATGAGTATTTACTAAATTTGTACAGAGAATTTACCACCCCGAAAGCATTTCGCAAACTTTTAATATTCTGGCAAAAAAGCGCTTCTAAGTTTCCTTAAGTAGAAAGGTATATATTTTTCTGGGGAAAAAGTGAAATGTACCCTTCTTTAAGATGATTTTCGATGTCATATTTCGTTGTACAGTCAAACCCCGCTATAGTGAACCTTTAATGGACCGAAATTTTGGTTCACTATAACCGGGAGTTCATTATATCCGTTACGCAGGCAATTTAACTAATGGTTCCCAAACTGATCCCTTTTATTAAGCATTATTCAAATAAATGACTAAAAAATATTATGTAGTAGCAAAAAATGAGTTATTTTTCATTATTCTTCGTCTTGCGTACAAAAAAAAAAAAAATTAGTAATCTTTAGCTG